CCATATGAACCGGATCCTTCCCTCCTTTTCTCGGACTGGGACCTGTTCATATACGTTCTTGGCAGATGATCCAGCAGTGGTTTGCCATTGCCTTCTTCTGTGTGTGAATGGAGTAATTGTTGGGATGCCACGGAGGAAAACTCCGTGTTGCCTAGACCACGGCCTTGCCCAAGACAAGATATAAATTCGGGCACCGCCGGGAATCGAACCCGAGACCCCAGCTGTAGTAAGAAAATTTAAACAATCACAGCGTATTATTATACAAGTCTCATATAATTCCTGTTCATATATTATGGCGGCGGGAATTCAATGTGTAACTTCGAAGAACCGAAATTATCCACCATTACAGTGAACACTGTATTTGCAATATTCAGGGTTGGTGAGTTGTCGGGCGACTTTAGAATCCTGCCCAATACAACACTTTCAAAATCGCCCAAACAGCTACACACTCACTCTGAAGATGGTAAATGCAATTTTTTGCGATGTTGGATAATTACCAACATTTTACGTGACTCACTCTCGAAAGCAGAAGATCTGATCTGTTTTCCAAAAATAACTTCTTCTTATTAAGGGAAAGCAATATGAACGAGGCGGGAGAAAAATCGCTTCTTATAAGTCCTTGGAGTTTATCGTTTTAAAAAAAGAAGTCGAGATGGAAATTTCGAGATATACACGTAACCTAACCGTTTCAATATACCATCGCGAGGAAGGTACATAGAAATTTGTGTGGCACGCAGAAATGTTATTACATTTTAACACACGAGGTTTCTTCCGCGTACCAAACTTCCATCTTCCGTCTCGGAGGAGTTCCGGAGGGATTCAGGCAGGTTAACTTGCTTATACCCAGGAGACGACATACGTGAAGCATCAGCTTTACTGGCGATACGAATTTCAATTGTGTGGAAAGCTTTCTCGTGACTTCACATAACAATTACAGAAAAAATTGCTAATATATCTGATGTACGATTATGTTCATGCCTTATAGATCTCGTAATTCAAGAGTCGGCATTGGCTGGGTATTCATATCTTTGTCGAGAGCCACAGATAAAAAAATAAGAATGTATATTTCTCTATTTCTCCGTGAAACTGAGTTTACTGTAAATACGTTGTTTGTTATTATATCTTGCAAAGATTTCTCGAATTTCATTTATTTTACAGTCGCGGTTACTTTAATAGTGTTTTGTTAAATTACACATGTCTTGAACAACGAAACAACGAAACTTTGAGCAATAAGGTCCGGAGATAGAGTCCCATCTCCGAAACGTCGTTTTTACGTTTTATATTTACTAGACGATGGATAATATCCAAGAAAATTTTTATTCAATTGACTCTTCACCATCGTCAAGAAGTTTTAGATCTGATATAAATAACACAATGTTAAAAATTTTGCCTTCTATCTACAAAACTATTAATTGGTTTATTAAAATATTTATTTTATTATTTTCCCTTACGATTAAATTAATCAGGCCTACGCACGCACACATTTATATCAGAGTTTGTCACTAGCAAAATATGCTAAGACAATCAACACGATACATATCACGATAAATAAAATGAGATATGAATAAAATTTCCTTGGATTTCGAAAACTCAATATTTACACGGAAAATATTTCAGAAAATACAGAATTATTCATGTTAATCAAATGCAGGCCCGTCCTGTAACATAAGTCGCTTATAAAGAAATTTATGAAATTCGATTCAAAGTTAATGTTGCTTCAAAGCTAAGCCAACAGAGCATCACTGCATATTAAAACATAAATCGCTCGGCATGTTTTAGTACAGACACCATAAAGTAGCCAACATTGTGGATGAAACACGGAGACAGACTCTATGACGTCACGTCTCCGATAGGCGTTCATTTCTCAGCCCACAAATATGGCATCTTGGTGGGGCTAAGACCCACGCCTTGAGTGACCTGTCGGCTGCACTGGCCTCTGACATCAGGGGGATTCTTTTGCAATTCTGAGAAACATTACACCTCCGACCACTTCTTGGTCTAGCCGCTGTCAGACCCCACGAGACGGTATTAATGTTGCGGTCTGGGAAAACTACGTCGTAGTAAAAACGTCGATACGTGTGGTGGAATTTCTAATAAGAACTTTCGGGAAGAACGCCTCACCCCCTATGCCAAGTCTGTATGTCCGTCTGTCTGTCGCATGTCACAAATCAAAGTCTCTAAACGAATTTATTAAAATTCTATTCTGGGGAGTTTTACTAAAATCTGTCGATACATATTTTGGTTAAAATCGGACAGCATTGAGGGATGAAGAAGGTGGCGGCCTTCTGGGATATTTCACCACGTAGTCTCGTAGAAGTTAACCGACGTTTCAGAGATACGTACGAACTCCATCAACATGGCGATTCTCATTCCCCTGATGATGCACGCAGTATGTACCTCTGAAACGTCGGTCAGCGTCCACCAGATCAAACAGCGCAATAGGCCATAAGGCTTTAATCTTCATATTCGTAGCCGTGAGAACCTCAAATATCACTTAGCATTTAGAGATACTTCACAAATTTGAATACTGATATAAATTACAAAGCGAACTCTCTTGAACACACTAATTAAGTGTCCTAACTTGTTCTGTGCTGTGATGATGTGTGTAAACAGAAGATCATTCGTCCGAGAAGTCCTACAAAATGACTTAACAGATTATTTCAGAAAGCTATTTTGTTCCGGAACACGCCCGGAGGTTTCCTCTTTGACAGTAGTAGCAAGTAGCAGACTGTAGTAATACGAATTCTACTTGAACCTGTTAGCGACCAGATGTGTCCATCGGCCATTATTTTATCCGTATCTGAGTAGAAATAAATCCTTCAACAACGTGACAAAGCTTAAATATTTCAGAAAAACAGTAAATAATTAAAATAGCATTCAGGCCAAATTCGAGGAAGGTTCTTTACCATCCAGTTCCCATATTCTGTCTTACAGCCTGGTATCTGTTAACGTAAATATTAAAATATACAGAACTATAATCTTACCTGTTGTTTTGTATGGATGTCACCGTGGGCTCTCACGTTAATAAAAGAGTATAAAGACGGACGAAGCTTGAGAAGACAGGCGGTGAGGAAAATATGCGATCCTAAAAGGAAAGAAATATAAAAGGTTTCAGTAAATTACATAACGAGTATCGTCATAATTTGTACGCATGGATTAAATTAAAATGAGCACAAAATTTTCGTTGGGAAGCCTGAAGGGAAGAGACCACAAGGTAGACCTAGGAATAAATGGGAGAATAAAATTAAGACTGATCTTACAGAAATGTGGCGTGAGATTATATACAGGACTCATCTGGATCATGATACAGATCGATGGCTGGTTCTTTAGAACGTAGTAATAAATTGTTCTGGTCGAGAATTTTTCAGTTCCGTAAATAATCCAGCGGCTGACGACTTTCCAGGAAACCCCTGCCACGTGAAAACTGAAGATAAAGCAATTTCACCCAACACAATACAGTATTATTTGTGTTTACACAGCGATGAAAAGTGAGGTTAGCAAACACTGTTCATTGAGCTGTCAGACTATTGAACGCTGAATGAATTTACATTCATTTCAATCGCGCATATAAACAAATAATTTCATTGAGATTTAAAACAAATGCAACATTTTTGTCAACAAATATTTACATTGTTATTTAAAGGTATATACAGATAGCAATGAAAAATAAAACCATATTACAACAACAAAGTTCCAGGAAGTTCATTTACATTTGTTTTGGTGCAGTGGTGGCAACATTGAAAGTTCCCGTTGTGTTTTGTTGTCGTCCGGGGGAAATTTTGCACCTCGAAATGCAGAAGTTAACGACAGAACTATCGCCTAAAATACCAGAGTTAACGCAGTAGAAAATATATATATATATTTCACTTCTCGCATTGTAATTGTATGTAAAACGTTTAATAAAACATTTTTAAATTTTCCCTCGCAAGTATTTTTGCGAAAATAATATAGCGTAACTGTGTAAGATCGTGTATTATGACGATAACAGTAACAGATGCTTAGAAACAAAGCAAAACTGATTAAACTTTAAAGTCGGTTTTCATTACCTTCACATTTCTTCCTGCTGTCTTGTCTGATTTTATGTCATTAACACTTTTGTGTCACACGTGACGAGTCAAAGACCCCCCCTCCCCCCAGTCTCTAAATTACGAATATTTCCAGGACGGAGAAAACACAAAATTTCATTGTTACAAATTCTGTCAACGACCTCACTCCCCTACTACAGAACTTCCTCCAGCACACCGTCAAACAATTCCAAGAAGGCTCGCTAAAGTTTTCAAATTAAATCTAAATAAATACATTTCTACGAATCTCGCAACTGACAAGCAACCTGTCTCTCCTCAGAGATTAATTTAAGCACAAGTCAGTTAAAAGCAGACACTGCCCCTCCTTTCGCTTGGGTTCCATTAACAAAATAAAACTCCTCTGGAAAGAAGCACTAACTATTCAAATGCATCCTACGTCAAACCCGCGTTTTATAAAAATATCCCGTCACACACAAATACTTCTATGACCTGTGATTATAAATGACGAATGATAAAAAACATTGTTACTCGCACTGCCTGAGTAAAAAATTGATTTTTATATCGAGTTACTGTGGAAAGCCTCCTTTATAAAGAAATATTGAACATTTCAACATTGTATAATTCTCAATTAAGTAGGACATATAAATACAGTGGTTTAAAAGGGACCGCTTAATTATAAGTAATGAAAAGAAGAACTTGGTTTCGTCGAGATATCGGAGTCGAATGCGTGATTATATTCATGTGTGCCGTCTTCACAATGTATTTTGATGGCCCAGGACAGCTTTGGCTAATTAGGTGATGAACCTTCAGGTTCCCTAAGCCATCTACTTAGTTAGTTAGTTACTTACTTAGTTAGTTAGTTAGTTACTTACTTAGTTAGTTAGTTAGTTACTTACTTAGTTAGTTAGTTAGTTACTTACTTAGTTAGTTACTTAGTTAGTTAGTTACTCACTTAGTTACTTAGTTAGTTAGTTACTCACTTAGTTACTTAGTTAGTTAGTTACTCACTTAGTTACTTAGTTAGTTAGTTACTCACTTAGTTACTTAGTTAGTTAGTTACTCACTTAGTTACTTAGTTAGTTAGTTACTCACTTAGTTACTTAGTTAGTTAGTTACTCACTTAGTTACTTAGTTAGTTAGTTACTTACTTACTTAGTTAGTTACTTAGTTAGTTACTTACTCACTTAGTTAGTTAGTTAGTTAGTTAGTTAGTCAGTCCCGTTTTCACGTCCACTCCATTTCGTTCTTAATAACTATAGTGGTAAGAGATGCAACGTTAAACACTAAAGCAAAACATTTTCGTTATTTATCTTATTTTCAAGCTAAATATCACAATCTCTCTAACAATCTAGAGGGGTTATCGTATCATAGATTCTGAGCAAGGAATCATCACGTCATACAGCCCTGCAGTGAAACGTTTTCACTCTCAACAGCATAAATACGTCTCTAATAAATACGCACCAATTAAGAATAAATAAAAACACTTTCTCGGAAATGCGTCATCCATGTTGGAACAGGCTTATAAGAAACGTTGAATCCTAGATGAGAAATTTATATTTTGTTCGCACTAATATAATCTTACTTTGTCAACTCTTTGTTTTACAAACGTTTCGGTTGGAACATCTTCCAGACTCTACAAGCCACAAACATTTATCTGAAAGATTGCAGATTACCAACACCAATGGACATTTAACCCGTACAGAAATGAAAATGTGAGCTCAGAGAATGGATTTCCAAGGATTCTTATGGAGAGACAGATAAAACACGAAGAATCTTAATATGGATATTCGGATCCCAACCGAGAATTAACCCGAAAACAAGTGACGTTATGTCAGCGGCTATCTACTGGGGAGAATGGCCAAATATTCTGGGGCCTATGGACCTCATTGAGGGCTGACCGTCCTGCACATTTTATTATTAAATCATCAAACATGACACGACTGAAACCACAAGCATCGGTAGAGCACTAGTGGCTTAATAAGTGAATACGTGATTTGGTGAGTAAATACGTAACTCACATATTTTATATCACAGTTTATTTAATAACGATTTATCAACTGCATACGTTATATATGATGTCGAGTGAAGAACGCGGTAGTAGCCTATTTTAAGATATTGCCCGAGAATTTGTAGGGAGTGACTGAAGAAAACGTCAAATCCCTCACATTCAAGACACGAATTTTGACCATTCCAAGGAAAGAAAATAATCCTGCGGCCATTAACCGACTGAATTTGAACAAGTGACTGCGTGTGAGAGAAAAAATAGGCAATTGATTAAGCAAGCGATTCAATGAGTCATCAAATGATTATACTTAATATAGGTTTCACAGGTGCTTGCTGCCTTCATTATCAGGGGAGAAAGCACAACTGAAACGTCGGTAGATTAAACGTGCAACAACCCAGAAGACAGATTTCTTCATACCCACCGCCGTGAGAAGCTGAAATCTCAAATCTTTATTGACTGATGTAATCGTACAAGACGTAGACTACTTTCGCACGAACCAGAGGTATGCAAATTTCCTATAAGATAATACCAACACATTTTTTCCACTACAAAAGCAGTTCCGTGTTTTCATTTCACTGGCAAGACTGCGAAATTTCAACCTTAGGCGAGATCTAGATTCTTCAGCTAACAGAACAGCAGAAGACGCGAGAGTACTCCGTATTTTGAGGAGAACTTACGAGACTTAAACCGACCTGTGTTTTGCTATCGTAACCTAATTATCATTCATGACTGTTCTACTGACAAGCAAGCGGAATACAGGCGACAAATTCACACTTCGAACATTATCCCATTTCCCCTTTAGACACGGAAATCTTAACTCAGGAGTGCAGAAACTTTCCAGGCAGCCTCAGAAACGAAACATGAAGACAGAGGGGTAGATACGACCTTGCAAAATGTAACAATAAAGTTTCGCAGTTAGCGGTTAGAACGCTGGCCTTGTAATCCTGGGGTCTCGGGTTCGATTCCCGGCGGTGCCCGAATTTATAACTTGTGTTGGGCAAGGCCGTGGTCTAGGCAACACGGAGTTTTCCTCCGTGGCATCCCAACAATTACTCCATTCACACACAGAAGAAGGCAATGGCAAACCACTTCTGGATCATCTGCCAAGAACGTATATGAACAGGTCCCAGTCCGAGAAAAGGATGGAAGGATCCTGTTCATATGGACCTGTCGTCAGACAGAACACTAAATAAATAATAATAACCAAACTGAAACATGACAGGACCGATTTATCGCAAAGGTTCAGCGTCGACACCGACCTGAGGCCTCAAGTTCGTAACTCGTCTACGAGATTACCATTTTGTGTGCGTCCAATTAAGAGGAATTATGCAAATTATACAAATCCTACAGCTGTTTCCTATAAGCCTACGTGCCTTACTAAATTCTTAACAAACATACAAATTTCTTATGACTGTACGTCATACGTATATCTTTCGAAAAGCATAAACTGTAAGACAGCATCGATTTGAGTGCAGCTAACGACTATAGTCGTGAAACTTTCTTCCCCAATACTAAAACACACAAGGGAGGTATCTTTGGTCGACGAAGCATTTTCAAATGAACGTGTGTCAACATTTCGTAGGAAAAGCTGCCTCTCTCTCTATTGGCTCTCTCCTGTTTGCTGTGATAACTGATGAGATTCAAGAGGCTGTGGAAACAGTGTTGCGGGTAAACACCTACAGGGGAAATAAGTTTAACATTCAAGGAGCGTGGAGATGTAATTCAAAATGTTTATAAAGCACACGGTAACACTTGAAAATTCTGAAAAGCTGAAGAGAGTCGAGACGTGGCATAGGAAATAGACCGATGAAGCCAATACAAATTTGTTATAAGCGGACGACGGGGACAAAATCATCGTACGTAATGGCGACACAAAGATTAATTTCGCAGGTCTTCTATAACAGTTAGTATAAGGAAATATATTAACTAAATCCGCGAAGTGGAGTCCCTGAGAGGATAAATCTCTCTCGGCTTCTCACAACATTCACCGCCTCTTGTGAAAAGCGAACACGTCCTCAAGAGCTCACCACTGTCCTCCCGCCACACTTCTTGAAG